GAGTCAGTAGAGTAAACTGCTCATTGACAAAACTAGCAAACCTTGCTTTCTCACCAGCTCGTGTCTCTGTCGTTCCATCCCCATGAAGCAGAAACTCTGAACCTTGAGGCCCAAAAGCTGTGGGGCCTGTGAAGAAATCCATATCAATGTGATACTGGCAGCACTACCGAAGGCGAAAAGAAAGAGGTGAGGTCCACCACGAATCGAAAACACAGCAAGCTCTTGAGCTCTCAGTCTTTTCCAGCACGTCTCACGGTGCCCAAAGGTCGGGGCAGCCACCACCTATGGCGGCAAAAGGGTACGTGACAGTAGCGTTGCGTGATCAGTGATCACGATTGGCAAAAGGAATTCCTAAATGGCGGCGGGACTGACCAACGTCAACATGATCATGCTCATGGCTCTCATGCAAATGGCACAGCTTCTGAAATGGGCGAAAGGTTTTTGACAGAGGTCGGTCCCTTCGCTGGATGAATTCCTGCCAAGTGCAATCAGGCTCAAGTTCTACCTCAGACATGTCGTCCAAGCGGTCTTCCATGACCTTCGGCTTCTTCTTCGCTGCCGTGAACTGAGGGTCATACTTGACGTTCCAGCACTGACCACGGAGCATGAACAGCCTGAACTGGTCCTGGGCGGAGGCCTTGGTAAGGCCATCTGCTAATTGGGCTTCTGATGAAACCCAGAGCAATTGCGTGTCTTGTCGGACCATGTTCTCGCGAATGGCGAGAAGTTCAAGAGCTGAATACTTCTCCTTGAGGCTGAATGCTGCTGATGCACCTTCGCCTTTGTGGTAGGCATCAAAGGCAGACTTTGCGTCTATCACCAGTGCGCTCTTCACCAGCTTCGTCGACTGCTCTGGACACCTGGGGTTGAAAGGATGTCCAAGAAGCTCGCTCCACAAGGCACGGCAGAACATCACCTCCTGCTCGGCCTCACCAAGTGCCTGGAGCTCTGCTGAAAGAGAGCTTCGAGCAGTGCGATGGAGCTTTCCACTTCGCCAAGCAATCAAGTTCACAGGCGAGCGAACACCGGACAGGATTTGCTGATGGCATAGTCCAACAACATAAGCTCCTGTACTTGACAAGTCTGGCCGATTGGCCACAGCAGCATCGGACCATCCGATGATCACCAGCTCTGAGTCTGAGGCAGCTTCCAACTGTTGCACCTTCACAGAGACAAACCACGCTGTGCAAACACTTCACGGACCAACTTGTTGATCTGCACCAGCACGTCCTTGGACTCTTTTCCATGCGGAAGCATGGATTGAAGAAGTGAAAGCTTTGCCGCGTGCTGCGGCGCTGTTTGACTCACTCTCCATTGGATCGCTCCAAGAACTGCCTTGGCTTGCGACAGTTCTGATGGTGTCACATGGGAGCAGGATTTGTCAATCTCGATCTGCTTGATCTGCGAGGCATATTGCTCGTGACTGAGGTTGAAACCATAGTTCGCCTGCTGATGTACTTCGACACCACAGTGAATGTAAGGATCAGGTTCCCACGGGCTCCACTTCAAAGCTTGGTGGAAGGTGGTGAGCGTCTTCATCCATAGCTCATTGCTTTCATTGCCGGTCACTATGAAGTCGTCGACGTGACTGGCCAGAACACCTTGAACCACCCCTTGAGCGTCTTTGCAGATCCAAACGCAAGGTTCGCACACCAGGCGGATCAGACCACACTGAGTCGTGGCGATGCGATCGACATCTCTGTACCACTCACGTGGTGCGCTGACTAGCCCATAGGCTGCACGAAGAAGGCGTACAGCTTGCCCTTTAGGAACTTGTAGTCGATCACCAAGCTCATCAACTGGAAGTGCAAACACATCACGAGATTTCTGGGACTCGGAGCCCTGCAAAAATGCTGCCTTCACGTCGGCCTTGAGCGTTCGCCATCTTCTATGGCAAGCTAGGTTGAGGATCAGCTGACGGCTGCGTCGTGCCAGCGTGGGAGCGGCCTTGTCCAAACTTTCGCCATCAGGGTCAGAGAAACCCAAAATGACTATTCTTGCTTTGGCCTTGACCATGCCAGCTTTGTCAGGATCCTCCACGCTCTTGAACACTAAGACCCATCTCATCTTCATGAGCCTGGACTTGGGGACTTGCATGCCGGCCTTTTCCACCACCTTGTTGATTACCCAAGAATCCACCTCTAAACGCTTTGCCTCCATCATAGCTTGACGCTGAACTGCGTTCAGTTTGTGCCAGGCAATCTCACAGCCCTTTTGCACTGATTTTGCTGTGAATTTCTTTGGGTCCTTGAGGATGCGTCGCCATTCTTCCTCAGACTGAGGAGCTTCAATGACCACTGACATCACCATGTCATTCGAAGGCTCGGAGCACCAGCCAACCAAATCAGGGTTCTGGTACTTCTTGGGAAATTTTGCATGATGTGGTCGATCTTCTTGCTCATGCTTTCTCCGAGCTTGCTTGAAGCTTGACTCAGGCATAGACGCATCAGAACTAGGATCAGGTGGTTGGAGAGGATGAAGTGGCATGTACTGCGGGTCGTCCAAGAGACGTTCGATGTCCAGTTCACTGTCGTCAGGGTGCATCCCTTCTCGGAGGGTTGGATCCATGTGGACATCATCGTCATCAGGTACCAGCTCTTCAGATGACTCGCTGGCACCGGAAGGAGTGTACTCTAGGTCGTCCTCAGTCTCAATGGCCTGTCGCTTTGGCAACGGTGGGCGAAAGGTTTGTTTCCTCTTCAACTCAAAACGTTCTGCTCTGGACGAGGTGAGATCTTCAAATGAACCCTTTTGCAAAGAACTTGTCAACATGCTAAAGGTCCAGGGTGTAGCCATAGTGTTGGAGGCATTGGCAATGATCAACTCACGCTCACTTGCATGCCTCAACTGGTCCATGTGGGTTTTGAGAAGTCGCCCACAGCTGACCAACCACACTGTGCTTGAAGGTGCACAAATAGTGCCAGTCTCATCTCTTCTTGTCTCTGAGGCGAGAACACGAGCAGGGCCAAACCATCTGGCAATTCTCATCCTCGGCATGTCGACATCCACATTCGAAGGCGCCCTCCGGGGCGTGCGATGTCTCAGGTAGTACACCAAGTCGCCGGGGATGTACTGCTTCACTTTCTTGCTCCTGGAGTTCTGAGCTCTTGACAGTCTTGCTGAGGCAGTCAGCTTGTTGTGGAGATGTTCAGCTTCAATGCGCAAACGAAGGTTCTCAGCCATCTGATGACCAGGAGTGGCCTCAGAACAACATGCTGCAACATTCTCCTTGGCGTTCTCTGAGCGGCCAAATGCCCATTGAGCCGGAGCATAGCCACCAACTCTTGTGACGTGGTTGTGAGCTTGAACCATGGCATAGGCTGCCCTCTTTGGAGACACTGGCTCATTGCGAAGGAAGACTTCCATCTTGTGGCGTAGTTCACCAATTCCTCGCTCCACCAACCCAGTCGATGAATGATGTTCGGCTGGTGTGTGGATCATATCAATGCCTCTCTCGGCACACCATTGAGCCAGTGCAGTTCCTCTGAAAGCTCCCTCAGCGTCACAACGGAGTTTGGAGGGATACCCAAAAATCTGGCACCAACTCTCTTCCAAGGCCTCAATGGCCTCACCAGTCGCCACATTCTCAGACTGGTCATCAGCATGACTTTTGATCTCTTTCACCACGGCAAACGAGCTTGCCTCGTCCATGAAGAGGATGTAGTGGTACACCCAGTTTGCATGCCGGAAGTAGAACCCATCCATTTGAAGAGTTCGCCACAAAGTTTCTTCCCGCTCAGTGGAGACCTTGGTGAGCGGGATGGCTGTCTGGCTTTCAAGACATTCGGGGCACTTCAACTCCATCACGGCAGCCTTCAGTTCTTCACTGGCACCTCGGGCTTGAAGAAGTTTCAACATGGCTCTATTGTTGGGGTGTCCACAAAGACGGTGCAGCTTGAGGGCGGATTCCATGAGCCGCTGTAGCTCCAAGGGAGTCATGCGAGCCAGTGTTTCCTTCTCAGGCTCTTGGACAGCACCGATCATCTCTTTGTCCTTCATCATGCCTTGAGCTGCAAGTCGACAAAGTTGAGGGGTGTAGTATGCTGACTGCTTTGCACGTTGCCCCAAACAAGGAACATGGTGGTGTGAACCATCACATTCCCTCTTCAAACTCGTCAAAGCATGGGGCGAGGTGCACATGAATCGCCAAGGCTTCTTCACAGGGCCATCTTCCGATGAGAGCCCAAACATGCAGCCATCTCCAAGAACTTCATGAGCTCGGTTCACTTCAGCGAGCTCTGCCCAAAAGTGCTCAACTTCCGGAAGCCTCCAGGCTTTGTTTGACTTCGGCCATTCCCAAGCAATTTCTCCACCTTGGGCCAAGTGTGCGCGTAGTACACGAAGTCCTCCACGCAAGACCTTTCTCGCATGCCGCTTTCTGTAGCGGCTTTTGATCATTCCTTCTTCAGTTCTTTCGTTGAGGGCCTGGACAGCCGAAGTCGGGCCACATGGAAAGCTAGCCCAAATCCACCGAGGTCGATGAAGTCGAAGTAGTTCCAAAGTTTTCTCCACTCCCTCTTCTCTGGTCAAATCACAGTGGTTGTGCAAGCCTGCACGGCCACCGTATCCTCCAGCTGCATGCACAGCTTGGATCAACAGGCTTTCGGGGCCACAACATAGTTCAAGCACGTCCCAGTGCTCTCGTGCAGCAATGCCTCCATGAGCCAGGAAGATCTCGTCATTCTCCATCACCAGCTCATTCATAGCTTCCCAAGCAAATGCTGCATCTTTGTCGCTCAGCCGAGCGTCATAGGGGATGTCCTCCTCAAAGTTCTCCATGGCAGGTGGTTCAAAGGACTTGCCATCGGTCATCACCGGGTCATTCTTGAAAAGGTGGGCATTCGGTGGAACTTTGACATTCGGAGGGACCTCAGCATTCTTGAGGAAGCGGACATTCTCAGAAGTCAGGTTATTCGAATTCAACTGGTCATTCGATTGGATGGCATTGTCTTCAGACATGCTGTCATTCTCAGTAGCGCCATCCCTGACCAGGGCCTCATTCAACTCGATGCGCCGGTTCGCTTCTCTGGAGATGTCACGGTCGACCACGAGCGATCCTCCCGGTCGGCGTACTCCACCTCCTCTGCTGGCCGCTCGTTGCGGCGGGATTTGCTCCCAGGAACCATGGAGAGAAGTTCCTTGTCGGTCGGAGCTGGACTTGGCACATACTCCTCCTCGTCGTCGGGGATCTCGACCACTGAGCTTGGAGTCCGAGGAACAGGAGTCTGATTGCTGCTGGGCGCTGTGGTCTCGTTGGAGTCGGGAGAGCGAGGTGCATATCCCGCTGCTGCCTTGCGAGCTCTGATGTTGTCCAGCTTGCTCATCAGCGAACGTTCTGCTCCATCCAATCCCACCGCCTGAGTGCGAAGCAATGGGTTGTATGGAGCTTTTTCTTTGAGCTCCTCCACCTGTCGACGAGTGTCCTCTGGGATCGGACCTGCTTGTCGATGAAGTCCTGTCGCCCCGAACGCCGGGGTATAGGACAGGCGAAGCTGGCAGCGTTCGCACCCCACCCATGTCGCATGTCCATTGCTCCCTGACACACTTCCACGGTATGCTGCTGCTGGAGTGTGGTTGCCCCAGCAAGGAGCTCTGAGGGTTCGAGGATCCCTCGGGTCTGCAGCCACCGTGCGACTCTCGTCGTACTTCTCCTCCCAGGTGGCCTTCTTCTTGTCCATCTTGTCGCCCTTGCCAGAGCTCTTGGAGGGCTCTTCGATCTTTGCCTTGGCTTTCGCCTTCGCAGCAGCTGCTTGCGACATGGCTGACCGAGTTGATGAGGGAGGCAGTCGATGCAAGGATGGCCAACGCCTTCCAAGACATAGCCGTTCTTTGAGCCTCTGTGTCAACGGCGGTGGGTGACGAAGAGTGATCATGTACTCCAACATGTTCATGACGCACTGCAAAACACTGTGACAAAAACTCTGCAGCATGGGGTTCATCAAGACTCTCAAAAATCTCCAACTCGTGAGGGGCAAGAAGTGAGGAAGGAGTGCAAACAAACGAATGCTCATGCCGATCATTGTGCACATGCCGTTCATGAAGACTGTCACTTTCACATACCTCAGAACCTTTCTCAACCATGAAACACGACGAGCTGCCAGGCACATATTGCTGCTTTCCAGAGAGCTCTTCAGTGAAAAGAATCTTGGTACCCTGACTCAACCAATCGTGAGCGAGGTCCATGAGAAGGTGACCGGATCCACTCAGTTTCAGCGGAACCAACAAGGATGCATCGATGGCAGTGAGCACCATCGCTGAACGTGAAGTATCTCTGATTGCTCCAAGTCGGGTGAGGGTTTTGATCCCCACCAACACTGGAACTCCATTGGCCTCCAGGGTGTAGATGCCAAGTGACAAGCTATGCTCACCTAGCCGCTGAGGCAGCAAAATCAAAGACTCTGACTGCTGCGTCATTCCATTTCCAAACTTGAAGGTCTTCTGGGGCACATCGACGACCGTGAAGTCGCCCGAAGAAGCACCTGCAGCAGCACGCTTGTGCATGATCCATTCCAAAGCGCTCAGGCCACAAACAGTTTCAGTAGCTCCAGTGTCGAGCACACCGAAGCCTTCCATCTCGGGCGAACTGACTTCACCCACCTTCATGACACTCAAGGGCCTTTCAGGCTCGGACCAGGCGTGGAAAACAAAGGTCTCTTCAAGCTCTTGCGCCTCCTCAACCATGAAGACTTTTCCACTGCCAAAACCTTTTCCACTCTTCGAGCGCTTGGGACAAGAGCGAAAGTCGTGATCTTTCGCCCCGCAAATGAAGCAGCCTGAGTACGAAGGAGACCCAGGCTTTCCAGCACCATGCACTGCCAAGACCGGGGATGCCGTAGAGGAAGACGAGAAGGTAGGACGAGCATAGCCTTTACCTTTCTTTCCGTGGCCTTTGCCTTTCCATTTTCCTTTCGGAAAGAAACCTCTGCTGGCTTGTTTGGCGGCGTGAGCACGTCGACTATCTTGAAATGTCCTCATCTTCTCTTCGTAGGCCGCATAGGCCTCCACCACAGGTTTGGCTTCATCAGGTGAGCTCCACAAAACTGAGTTCCAGGCTTCAGACTCATAGGCGCCTGGTAGTTGAGGGTCTGCTGCAAAGAAACCATCTTCCTGGCCGTAGCGGTCTTCAGTGTCAGGCCTGGATGATGGAGTGGATGGAGTTTCCCAAGCCGGAAAAGCTTGTTCCAGGGCATTCGTTGAGAGCCAGTGGACATCGTTCTGCTCCAAGATGTCCTCAGCATCAGCCTCCTCCGTCAGGAGGATGCCCCATTGGTCATCTTGCTCAATCCAGAAGGTGTTGCGATGCTTTCCTTTCGAGTGCCCTTTTGGACGCCCTTCTCTCTCTCGCTCAACCAGGCGAAGCTCATCTTCAGCTCCTCGTAGGCCACGTTCAACATCTTCTGCTTTGAGCGAGTTCCCAATGCTTGAGAGCACATTCAAACGTTGAGCTGCATTGAGGGCGGACTTCCTCAACATGATCCAACCGATCAGCTCTGTGGGCAACACTTCTGGTAGGCCGAGGTCAAGATCATCCCACAAAGTTGAGAAGTCTTCATCTTCACTGCTGGAACCTCCAGAGCCGCGAGAACCTCTGGAGGGAGAGGCATGGTCTTTGGTCTTGCCTTTGCCACGACTCTTAGGAGATGAAGCAGGTCTTGAAGGTGGTCGTCCAGGTTCTTCATCTTGATCTTGCTCTTCCTCGGAATCATCCTCAGCAGCTGGTTCAGGGCCGGATCGTGCTCGTGACGAAGCATGCGAAGGAGCTGCACCATCATCCTTTGGATCTGGTTGGTCTCCTCGAGCACGACGTAGGGCCCGCTGCAACTTCCTATATGCTTCTCGAACCTGGTGACACCAAGTGGCCATGGAGGTACCTGGAGTCCTCCTCAACCTCAACAGCAGGTTCTCAGCTTGAGAGCCTGCATCAGGGATTGGCACTCTGGCCAACCGTTCCTCCAGGAAGGTGATCAAGTAGCGTGCTCCTCCAGGCTGGGTCAGAAGCCGATGGTCTATCTCTTGAGTGACTATCCATGCTCGGCCGGATAGTTGAGACACCAATTCAGGTCCAAGTTGAGGTCGGCGCCGTTTCCTGGTCTTCTCATACCAGGTGTTTTTTATACTTATAACTTAGTTATGAATGGGACAACTAGAGTTATAACCTAGTTTTAACCATGATAAGTTGCGTAAGTTCTACGAAAATGGCTTGGAACTTATCGTAGTTATATAGATACGTGTGCTAGTTATGTTTAAAATTTTCCATACTTATAAGTACAACGTAAGTATGACGAAAAAAACAATGTTCTACTTACTTTCTACTTAACCTACTTATGGGTATAGAGGTTTTGAGGGTTGTCCTGGCAGTTGGGCTTAAGCAAATATAGACTGTGGGAGCATTTTTGTGGGAGGCATGGAGACGCGCGCACGGCGACCTGTGCAAGACTACACGCACGCAGCGCATATGCTCAGCGAGGGAGTCTGGGCGCAGCTGCAACCGACATCTTGTACACCTTGGACGCCGTGGGCGTGCTGGTCTCTGAGGTGTATAAGCTGGAAGCCTCTATCGGGCTCATTGGGCCTATGTAGAGCACTTACTGGGCGCAAGAAAACGGAGTGCCCGGAATTGTGGGAAAATTGTGGGAAATTGTGGGAAGACTTTGGGGAAGTAGATTGTGGGAAAGACCCTGCCAATTACCTTTAATAAGGGAAATTGTGGGAAGATTGAAAAACAATGAAATCATTTGTGGGAAATTTGTGGGAAGACCGGGACGGGAAATATTGTTTTTTTGTCTTTTTTTTGGTGGTTTGGGGCTTCCGCGCCGCTCGTTTTTGTTGTTGTTTGTGTCATGTCTCCGACACCTCCGCAGAGCCGCAGAGATCTCTATATATATATATACACGGCCCCAGACAGACTGCCGCGGCCAAGTCCAGCCGCGCGCCAACCAGTGCACACGAACATATATATATATGTATATAAATACAGATGTCTTAAATATGCGGCTGCATCTGGTTGAAATTTACCAAAACACAGAAAGAAGCAAAACCTTCAAAAACACAACATGTTCTACTTACCATCGCACTTGTCCTACTTATTCGGTAAGGTCCATAAGTAGGATAAGTTGACTTATGTTACTTATAAGTATAAGTAGCGTAACAGGACTTATAAGTAAAAAAACACCTGGTAGGCCAGGCGAACCTTGCGGACATAATCTGGCCAGGAACTAAAGTCTCCGTCCCAGTGGCAACGAAGGGACGTGTCCTTATCTTTCTCAGCCATGATCTTCACCTAGACAAACTCAGGGGTCAAGTCAAAGGCAAAGGGGTAGGGTGCAAAGGACCAAGCTAGGAACAAAGCGCTAGGTAGACCTCCTCAAGGAAATAGTGCTAGCAAAATGCCACACCAAGATCTTGTAATCTAAGGTCTCAATGACTCGTGCACTGAGACTCAAAGGCGTGCAGCCAGTCCACTACCTTGCCCTGGATCTCCTCAAAACTCGTGCAAGGATGCCCTCTCCGGACGGTTCCTCTCGAGGGCAACGGAGCTATGAGGTAGCTCCGCTACCAGTATCAATGTGATACTGGCAGCACTACCGAAGGCGAAAAGAAAGAGGTGAGGTCCACCACGAATCGAAAACACAGCAAGCTCTTGAGCTCTCAGTCTTTTCCAGCACGTCTCACGGTGCCCAAAGGTCGGGGCAGCCACCACCTATGGCGGCAAAAGGGTACGTGACAGTAGCGTTGCGTGATCAGTGATCACGATTGGCAAAAGGAATTCCTAAATGGCGGCGGGACTGACCAACGTCAACATGATCATGCTCATGGCTCTCATGCAAATGGCACAGCTTCTGAAAATCCAGCACAAGGCAAGCATGGGTGAAAAAGAATTGCAAGGGATTGCCTCGAAAACAAATTCGGTTTTTTGGTTGGCCTCAATCCCCCAAAATGGATGATCAACGCACGCAGGCGCACTTGGCGAGAAAAAAATGAAAGCCTGAGGGCTCAACTGTGCTTCTGTCACGCCAAGTCAAACCATTTATTGCTGGGACATCCCAGTTGCGTCTGATTCTGAAATGCTTCCGATGAACGGTCCGACAGCTTCACAGGGATAGTGAAGCAACTCTTGTTGCCCCACCAATCCATGTCAGGCGCATCTTTCAATGGCAGAAGCCCCTCTCCTGTCCAGAGTGCTATTGCATCTGAATAAGACTTGAGCCTGAGCACAATGTACTTGAAACCTTGGCGTTTCATCATCCTCTCTAATTACTAGCACCATACGCTTGCCAGCTCCAAGCCCACGGCTACCACTCCCCACACCGCTTCGCTGATAGCCCTGCAAATGACCGTCCACACGGAGCTGAACACAGCAGAGTTGCACGCATCGCAACTCTCAGCCAACTGCTCATCCACTTCGCCAAAGGTGTCCAAAAGCATCTCCACACTGAAGTACGTTTGCTTTTCACTCGCTTCGTGACGGAAAGCATGTTCAATCAATTCATCTTGCAACTGCTTGGGATTTTGCATCCAGTATGCATTGTTGGCCAATCTCCATGCAACACCCCCAGGCCCTGCTCCGCTGCCCGTGCAGCGCTTGCATTTCCTTCTGGCTGCTCAGGCTCACGGCAAAGGCCAAAAGGGCAGCCCCATCTATATAACTATCGAAAGCACATCTCCAAAATTCAACCTGGCGGGGCAACTGGTTCCAAGAGGACCTTTGCTAATACAGTAAGCAAAGAACTAAGCGAGCTGTGCTGTATTTTTTGAGACCATTGTTTAATATTCAGGACGTCGGGCTTCGATTTAGAACGCTGGCTTCTCCTTAGGGCACAAGTTCATACCAATTGGGGCATTGGCTTCTACTCATTAGACTCAGTCTTTGAATGCCTGTGACAAACGGGCTCGTATTGGGATGCGGTGCCTTTTGCGCTCAGGCGTATTGTAAAGCAGGGCTTGTTATGATATTACAAGACCACTCATGTGAACGACATTTATTTTAAAAGATCCTACGTATTCTGATCTCAAGGTAGTAAAGCGCCTTGTTCAACGTCTTATTCAATTTATTGCAAGGTTTCTTTTTGTTGGTGTTGCAAATAATTCAAAGCTCGTACTTAGAACTGTTACCAAGCCCATCGTACAAAAGAAGTCTTGTATCGTTAAAAAGAACAAGCCTTGGTCTGGCTTGACTGGATCATAGGCGTGTGTTGTTCTACTATTGCTATTTATTTGTTTAAAATAGGTTTTGAGAAGACTGAATTCTGTGTTGTTGGTTCTGTGTCCAAATGTTACTTTTTTTTGGTTGGGGACAGCCTGCCTGATTTTGGTCAAACGTAAGGCCACATGAATGAATATATGTCTCATGCTGCATGTCCAAGAAACAACATATAGTACACGCTTTGATATCCCAAATCCTGATTGCAAAGCTCCTGAAACCTGAAAGATTACCATAACATAACATAGGTCCCATGAAAGGGGGTACCTTATAAAATATATACGTCTATATATATATATATATATCATATATATATACTTAGACACACATTTAACATGCAAATCAATTGAAACAATCATAAACCATCTAAAACCCACTGGCGTAGGAGCGGCTCCACAAGACACACCCCACTTGTGGACCTCGCTCAGTCTGCCCTTCGGGCCAAGCCTGGATGAAGGCTTGCCTGGGCAACTCGGCTGAGACGACAAAAGGACGTGTATGTTCCGCAGTCTGAACTCCAAGCGACAACACACCCAACATCAAACTAGCGAAGCTAGAGATGCACATCTCTATCACGGCAACTCATGGCACCCAAAAAAGGAAAAACATGAAAAAATAAAAAGTAGGAGCCAAAGCCGCCCCGGCAATCACTGGCCAATGCGCGGCCAAGCTGCAAGGTCTCGCAGCTGTGCCGTAAAGGGTCTCGATTGCCCGTCCGCAAGGCTTCGCAGAAATTTTGCCACCTGCGACACAGCTAGACGCGGCCAAACACAGCCAGCCATAGAGCAAACCGAGTAGAAGGGGTCGTTACATGAACAAGTGGCCGTTGGTGAACCTTAGGAGTTGAACAACTTGTTTAGTTGGCAACACCAAGTGGATGGCAAAAGTTTGGTTCTGGAGAGTCTTGGATCCCCTGGAAGAAAGGGCTCTGACCTGCTATCATGGCAAACAACATCCAAAAGCATCCAAAAGCAACAAATAATGTCTAAGCTATTTCTCTGTGTATATATATATATACTGCAGCGTCTGCTGCACCTTCTACTCTTAGCCTCGCTCCTCGGACTCTGTATCCATACCTTATCACGAGCATACCCTCGGATCATCTCCCACTCGTAGGATCTTCATATTATATATTCCACTTGTTTATTCTGTCAACAACGATGCAACGGGGTTGAAGGGGCAATTATCTCAAGTGCTACGACAGATTTCACATTGTTGCACTCTTATCATCTGACCAAAGGCGTTCCATCAAATGTATAAAGTTCCTTTTGGCATAGTGCTTGTGGAGCCTAAGAGCCTGCAAAAGCCCAACCAGCCAGCAAACCCTTCATGCTATCCATGCTGGCCTGTTGCACTCCAGTTTCCTCACCCTCCCCGTTCCAAAAGGCTTTCGGGTGCGAGGTGCCGTTGCTGGGAGCCGGTCACCCCATAGTTAACTCAAAACAAAACAAGGAACACACGAATCGTCCTCATGCCATGTGTTCCACATCCACAGCTACATAGTCATGGTCAAAGGCTGCCCTCCATCCATCCGAGCTCAAAACTGCGCCTCTCTCGTCCGCCGGTGCTGGAGCGCTGGATCTGCTTCACCTGTCCGAGCTTTCAAAGAAACTGTGCAACATGGTGCCTGGTGATGTTATTTTGGATGGGGATGTCTAGCTAA